TAACACCCAGTCCTTCTCAATCTCTTCTGCTGGCTTGTCATATTCCACTGAACTTCTAAATGTGGGCGTGTCCCAGGGAATAGCCCTGCAACTTCTTCCCCTGACTATACTCTCCCTAGGTGCTCCTGCCCAGTCTTCTGACTTTAAATACCATCTGTGTCCTGTTGTCTCAATAATTCTGCCTCTCCAGCCTTATGGGTGACCAATAGACTCCAGACACTTAACATGTGCGGATAAGAGCTCTTGACACACACCCCTGACTGTTTTTCTCTCCCTTCTCCAAACCTACCACACCTGCTTTCCATATTGCCTATCACCATACACAACACCTCTATGATCAAACTTGAAAGGGAATACTCTTTTAGTAATCACTCATTTCTTAAGTTTGTTTACCGACTGCCTTCAATGCATCAGCAAGCAATGACTGTTCCCCTTCCAAAATGTCACACGAACCCATGCACTCTTCTCCAAATTCATGCTGCCAGTCTTGGCCAAGCCACTGCCATCATTCGACTGGACTACTGCAAGAGGGTCCGAATAGGTCTTCCTACCTTCCTTTGTGCCCTGCCCACTTGCAATATTCTCCACAGAGAGCAGCCAGCGAGAAATTATTGAATATGATTAGGTCACGGCACTCCCTTGATTCCGTCCTCTCTTTGGTTCCCCAGAGCACTTTTGAGTAAAAACGAAACTCTTCATTATGGCTCCTTCCCACCACTGCACCTTTTGGTGGATGATCCCTCCATCCCCCACTCTCACTGGGCTCCAGCCACACTGGCATCCTTTCTGCCCCTCCGGCACCCCTGTTTGGGCAGGTTTTCCCCCTGGTTCCTGGCAGGACTGACCACTGATCATTGTATTCAGAGAAGCCATTCCTGACCTTTGCCACTTTTTTCTTTGGGGAGGGAGGGGTGGTTCTAGGTAACGGGCACCAAACCATCTTGTTTATTTCCATGAGGGCATTTGTAGCAACCTTTAAATGCTTTTAAATTTTCTGATGAGTTTATTGTCTGTCTTCCCTACTAGAAATTGAGCTTCCTGAGTACAGGGACCTCCTGCCTAGAAGAATGCCTGGTACAGCATAGGCCCTCCAATAAGTACTTGTCAAATCACTGGATGAATGAAGTGAATAACACTTCCTCCCCCAAGAAAAAGACCTCTCTCTCCCTCCACTGATGCTCCACAGGGCTCATCATTTTTTGCCTCTGTCACAGTGCCTAGTAGTCAGAACAGTTTTGATTGTAGATGGTAGGGACTGGCCAGGAATGGACTAAAACAAGGAGGGACCCCCCCACAGAGGCCTCTGTGAGAAAGGACTTGGAGAGCATTCCCCATTTGCTCTCCTTGTCACTTTAGTAGCCCTGCTCCTACTTGCGGGAGGTTCAGAGGCCTAGGGATCAGTCTTCAGGATTGACAAGTTTGGGAATTTGCTGGCCATAGCATGACTTCCTTGAACCTCCTTCTCCTGCCGCTTCACTGATTTCTGTCGGCTCTGTGGGCTGGAAGTCAAAGCCAGAGAAAGAGATGTTGTTGAGTCCTGGCCCTTGCATTGGTCCTGCTTGGCATTTCTGTCTCCTACCCATGGGCCAAGAAGTTCTTCTCGTCACCTGCACATCCCCTACCACCACCCCACCCCCCAGGAATCATGGCTTCCCCCTGGCCTCTGCCTCCTCGGGTCCCTCTTGGAGGGAGTAAGGCACAGCTCGTCTGCCTCCTGCCTACAAGCAATCTAGACTCCCAAGAAATGGCTCTTCACAGCAGTGACAGTGATCACCTTGGTCAAGCACTGGGTGTACAGCAGGCTTTTCCTATGTCTCGTCTCTGTCCTTTTCCTTTGTTGGCACTAGCTCTGTCTAGGGGCAGTGGGCTGGATTTTGCAAGCTGGCCAGGTACATGTCTGTGTGTCTGTGTCTCAGCCACCTTGGGATGCTTTCCAGCCAGCGATGGAAAGGTTCTCACTGCCTCACACCCCACAGTGATTGGGTCAGTTCCTCAGGCTTGGAGGTTGTCCTGTCACGTGCAACTGCCTAGGTACAGTCACCACAGAAAACAGTTTTATTTACTCAAAGAAGGTGGTGGATGGGCAGGAATGAGGGGGAGGAGAGAATATGTGCTGGGCAGATGAAATCCCATGGTCACCATAGTCCAATCACATAGTACCTATGGCCCTCTGCTGGCATTTCTGTTATTTGTATGGGCAGCCTGAGCTTGAGTGGAGTGAGAGGTCCTGAGGGTTTTATCATTTTTTTTATACCTGACCCCAAAGCCCATGCAATTCAATGCCTGGCTCACAGTAAGCGAGAAACTCCTATTTAAGGGAGGAAAGGAAGGACAGAGGGAAGGGTTGTTTTGACTCTTTTGGAACTGGTCACGTCTATCTTTTTGTTCCATCATCTCTGTCTCAGTTGTATGTAGGGGAGGGCACAGGCATATTTATGTATCTATATGTACTGATGGGGGAAGGGGTTGCCCAGTTTTATTGAGATATAATTGACATGTAACATTGTATAAGGGAAAGGTGTACAACACAATGATTTGATGATAGATAGACAGATATAGCTAAAGCTAGATAGAGATAGATAGAGATATAGGATTACCACAGTAAGTTTCGTTAACACCTATCACCTCACATAGTTAAACATTTTTCTCTTGTAATGAGAACTTTTTAAGGTCTGCTCTCTTAACTACCTTCTGTATCGATGTTTAATTTGTACTCATTCTAAGGATCAGATCACACCGATTCCCTCCCTGAACGTGCTGAGTGGTGCCCGTGAGCTTGGGTACAAAGTCCAAGCACCTTAGCTTGCTTTGCAGGGCTCCACACCTTCCAGCTCCATCTCCTGATGTGCTCTTGGAGACAATGATCTCTGTCCATGCCAGATTATTGGGAATGACTGGAAGTGGCTTTGTGTGTGCTAGCAGGCCACATGGTCTTGGGTGCACGTAGACTGATCCCTCTGTTTGGAATGCCTTCCTTTCTGCCTCGACACGGTGGACTGCTACTCATCAGAGCTCATCTTTGGGGTTTCGTCTTCTGTGCAGCCTCACTTGACTCCTACCACAGAGAGCTAGCGGCTGAGTCCTTCTTTCTGGAGCTAGTGGGGCCCTAGCTTCTGTTACACTCGACTCTAATGGTTGTTCACTTGTCTATCCCCTCAGCATTTGGCCCTGTGTGGCCTCTCTGCTTCCACAACACATACTGCTCACCTAGTATCACCAGGCCCCACACCTCCAACACATCAACACCCACTGCTCACTTATCACATGGCCTGTCCCTTAGCTCCCAGTGCCAAGTAGTTGATAAGGCTTTCACAAATATTAGCCGATGAACTGCTGGGACCAGGGACCTCATTCTAGAGATTTCAGATTTTGGTTTTGTTTTGAGCATGGATGTGTATTTCTTGGTTCATGCTAGTAACCTTAGCACCTTGAGGGCAGAGCCAAGAACAAACCAGTACTTGGCTCTGTCTGGACCAGGCCCTGTCCGCAGCCCTTGGTGTGGCTTTCCTCACAGTATCATTGAAGACAGCACTAAGGACAGGGTGCTCTTGATTTGCCTTCTGTAGGGCTGCATGTAGGAGGCTGGGTGGGCAGGAGGAATTGGTGGGGGGGGGGCACTGCAGAAGAACTGCAGGTCTGTAGTTCTCCCCTAGTCTGGAGCAGGGACGGCGGTTCCAGCCAGACTGTGTGTTCCCAAGGACAAGCTCAAAACCAGTTTATGTCTCCTGCTTCCCAGACCCCTGTATCCCTAGGGACCAGCACAGGTTCCCTAAATATTTGTGGCATGGTATTATGTATGAATGAATATGTGTTTTCTTTATTCCCTCTTCTGCAAGTGTTGCAGAGGAGGGAAAGAGCTGGAAAGGGGGGCGGGAATCTCTGAGAAAATGGGTCAGCAGGCTGCAGGGGGAGCTTGGCCCCCTGGCCCCAGCTCCTGCTCAGAGTAGATGTTGTTTCCTTGGTGGCGGTGATGTTGGAGAGTGTGTATGAGCGGAAGTGGGGAGAACCCCTGAATGTGAGAAAACCATTCTTCTTGGCTTTGTTTAGGCCGGGCAAGTGTATTCTCCATGACACCCACCCGCTCTTGCAAGGTACTTGATTTGATCATTTAACTGTTCTACGGGGAAAGGGGGGATAAAACAAAACCTTAGAATATCTAACCGGTATTCCCGCAGTCCACAGCAGAACCGTTTCCTTGCCTTCCTCTTCATATATATCCAGGCAACCTGAGAGGCTGAAGACTCACCACCACCCCAGCCCCAAAGCTCCCGTTCCCGCCCCCTCCCACAGCCTGCGGCCCCACAGCCCCGCAGCAGCCACAGGGGGAACCAAAGAGACAGAAGCCTGCCCAGCTGCCCGGACCACAGACGCCAACACCCCCCGCCCCCCACCACACGCCGCCTGCCCGCGCCCCGCACGCTAGCCCACGACTGAGCGGCGGCGGCGGCAGCAGGCTGCAGGCTGTGGCGACTCGCACCGGCGCGCTCCTGGCAGCGCTCGCTTGCTATTCCAAGTGACCTGGACTCGCCGGATCGGTTGGCCCCGGGCCCCGGGTCCCGGCTCCACCTCCCGCTCGCGCCCCCGGCCCGGGTTCCAGCGCCCACACGCCCTCCTGCCCTTTCCCGCCCCTCCGTCCCCCAGCTCGCGGGAAGGGAGGTCGCGGCAGCGGCCTGGTGGCACCGGCGACCGTGGCGACAGCGGCGACAGTGGCGGCGGCGGTGGCGGCAGCGGCTGCGGCGGCGGCTGCGGCGGAGGCTGCGGCGGCGACCGTGGCAGAGGCTGTGGCGGAGGCCTCCGTAGCTGAGGCGGAAGCAGAGGTGGAGGCAGAGGTGGAGGCCGAGGCCTCAGTAGAGGAGGCAGTGGGGGAGGCCACCCAGGGGGAGGCGACGGCGGCCCTGGCAGTGGGGGAAGAGACGGAGGCCGCCCTGGCGGCAGCGGTTGTGGAGGCCAGCGCGGCTGAAGCCGCCGCCGCCGCCGCCACAGCAGCAGCCGCGGCAGTAGCGGAGGCTGCGGCGCCCTCCTTGGGGGAGGCTGATGCGGATGCGGAGGTGGCGGCGGCGGTGGCTGCAGCGGCGGCGGCTGCAGCGGCGGCTGCGGCGGCGGCAGCGGCAGCGGCAGCGGCGGCTGCAGATGTGGATGCGGAGACCAGCCGGGGCTCCGAAGGCAACCCAGACTTTCCTATGGCCTCGCTGTACGTGGGCGACCTGCATCCTGAAGTGACAGAGGCAATGCTGTATGAGAAGTTCAGCCCGGCCGGGCCCATCCTGTCCATCCGCATTTGCAGGGACAAGATCACCCGCCGCTCGTTGGGCTACGCGTACGTCAACTACCAGCAACCGGTGGATGCCAAGCGGGCCCTGGAAACCCTGAACTTTGATGTGATCAAGGGCAGGCCCGTGCGCATCATGTGGTCCCAGCGGGACCCCTCGCTCCGCAAGAGTGGGGTGGGCAACGTCTTCATCAAGAACCTGGGCAAGACCATCGACAACAAGGCGCTGTACAACATCTTCTCGGCGTTTGGCAACATCCTGTCCTGCAAAGTGGCCTGCGACGAAAAGGGGCCCAAGGGCTACGGGTTTGTGCACTTCCAGAAGCAGGAGTCCGCAGAGCGGGCCATTGATGCGATGAATGGCATGTTCCTGAACTACCGCAAAATTTTCGTTGGGAGATTCAAGTCGCATAAAGAACGAGAGGCCGAAAGGGGAGCCTGGGCCAGGCAGTCCACCAGTGCTGACGTCAAAGATTTCGAGGAAGACACCGATGAGGAGGCCACCTTGCGATGAAGACATGCCAGGGACGAGCCAGCCAGCAGAGCCAAACCTTGGCTCCCACCCGGTTTACAACCACCCTCTTTGCCCCCCTAACCCACCAGCAGTGTATTGTATTGTACTGGGAGTGCAGGTCTCTCTTTATCTCTCTCTCTCTCTCTCTCTCTCTCTCTCTCTCCTCTCTCTCTCCTCTCACCCTCCCTCCCTCCTTCCTTTCCCTCGATCTCTCCCCCCTTCCTCTCTCTCCCTCTCTCCTTCTCCCTCTCTCCCTCTCACCTTTCCTACCCTCTTCCTCCTCCACCTCCTCCCCTCTTCCTCTCTTCTGCTTTCCCCATCCCCCCCCCCACCAAGGGCATTGCGAATAATCTTGCTAATCTGTGCCACTTGATAGATTACAGGCTGCCTCTTCTCCTTGCGGTTTGGTTTAAAAAGCACCTTCATGCTTGCTTCCTTCACTACACAGGTGACACAATTTCATGGTAGAAACATCAGAAAGGAAAAGGAGATCAGATGAGGGAAAGCCAAGAGAGTAATTGTTCCCAGTGATCCTACTACCCAGAGACAGCCACTTCTTGGTGTGCTGTTTTTCCAGGCTCTCTTCTCTCCTTCTCTCTCCCTCCCTTCCTCACTCCCACCCCACCTTCCCTTTTAACACACCGTTACAGAATGGTTCCTATGTGTGGTGTTTCTTAACCTGCTTCTTCAGAAACTAAAACCAAACAAAAATCAACCCATTGAACTTCTTTCCATGCTATTCAACAGGCTTCAGAAATGTCATCTTCAGTGCCTGCAGACTGTATAGATGGATCTTTAACATTTCTGTAATCAATCCCGCATTATTGGACATTCAGTTGGTGCCCAGTTCTTTCCTTGTGTTTAAACCCAACATTGCATACTCTGATGAATGAATCCTTCCTTGCCAAGCCAAATCTTCGCTAGCCTACCGGATGGTCTTCTTAATTGTCGACTTGCAGGATCCACAATAGGATATTTTAAAGACTTTTCCTGTGTGTTGCCAAATGGCCCCTTCATAAGCATTGTACTGATTTGCGTTCATGCCAGCCAGCACAGCTAGTAAAACGAGTGTGTCCATTTCCCCTGCATAGTGTCCTGGTCACTGTAATTGATGTGTGTGCGCGTCTGTGTGTGCACGCGTGGGTGCGTGCATTGTGCGTGTCTTGGCCAGCTCGATGGGCTGCAAATGGCACTTCCCTGTTTGGGGTTGTAAATGCTCTTTGCTTGTGCCCACTTGCTGCCCTTTTCCCCATTGTCAGAAAAATCATTCAGCTTCAATTGCAGACAAAAATAACAAAGCAGACAAGTTAACAGAAGAAATTTAATGTCCCTGCAAATCAATTCCAATGACTGCCCATACCATCCTGAATCATTTTCATATGCACTTGCCCAGTATTTTTCATGTGATATATATGTGAATTTTAATGTATATACTGTTTCAATATCTGCTTTTTCATACATGAATATATATTATAGATAGATATAGATGTATAGATATTCTTGAAGTTCCTTTCATGTCATTAAATATTCTTTTATAATAGTTTTGTGACTCTTTAGTGTTCCAGTGGTGGGGCTTGATAGAGGAATAGATAGATATAGGTATTCATCTCTATACATGTTTAGATATAGATATGGGGGTATATTTCACAGCTTTCTCATTGTTGCACATTTGGTTGTGAACATCTGTTTTTCTAATCCAAACCCTAGCTGCTAATTATACATAGTACACAAACCTTGCTTACATTGAATATTATTTTCTGAACAAACATTGGTGAGAGCAAATTTAGGATCAAAGGACATAGAAGGTTTGAGATCTTTTTCTTCTCTTTTGGGGAGTTTTTTTTTAAATGACTATCCGCAAAAATGGTATCAACTTACCCTAAGTACACAAATAATGTGAGAGAATGGAAATCTTGACAGTTGTTTAGGCTTGCTATTGCAGTTATGCAGTTATTTCTGTAGTTTTCCAATATTTTATCAGGGGTACTGTTCCTTTTTTTGTTTTTATCTACCTTACACATTTATTTTTATACAAATAACATGGTATCATAATAGAAACTTTAAAAAATTGAGTATGCAGAAAGTAAAAATCATTCTTAATTCTACCCCTTGAGAAAAAAAACTTTGGAACACATGAAACATGTACATAGATAATACCTTCAAAAATGTAATATGTATTGTTTCATTATGGAATACTTTCACTATAATTGGTCTTTCATATCATCTTTCCAAATTATTAAAAATTATCCTTTAACTTTGTTTTTACTTTATGTTCCATCATATGGTTGAGCTACTATTTCTAAAATTCAGTCCCTTCATATGTTTAAATTGTTCTAGTTTTTCCCTAGTAAGATTAACTCCACAAGTAACACATTTTTAGGTGAATATTTGTGACACATGCAGAGATTTAATTGCCTTATATACATTGCCAGTCCATGGCCAAATGCTTCTTCATAAAGTTTATGTCCATTAATTGTGTCAGAAAATGTATATTTCCTGGCTTATCTTCTTCAGTTAGCATTTTTTTAAGTTATGAGAAATTGGTTAAGCTTGTGCATTTTTGTTTTATTATTTCATCTTATAGATGTATTGCTTGAAAAAATACACATTAAATATATACAACACCTTCTTTTAAGAGAGAATTTTTGCCTATTTATCCATAATATTTAAATATAAGATCACACTGAATGTATTCTTTCGATTTTTACAATATATTGCAAATATAACTAAAATATTTTTGGCTGTCCAATATTCTTCCATAACCCACTATCATTTTTTGGGTGGATCAGAATTTCTTTTAAAATGTTTCCTTACTTTGGGATTTAATACATTTTCTAAATTTTCCCCGTTGAGCCCAAATCTGTGGTAGTTTTACCACAGAATTATTGTACTTTTATAAAAACATAGAAGTGGAATTGAAAAGTAGAGGTCTTGGGAAGCCTGGGTGGCTCAGTGGTTGAGCGTCTGCCTTTGGTCAGGGCCTGATCCCGGGATCAGACACTCAACCGCTGAGCCACCCAGGCATACCGAAAAGTAGAGGTCTTTAAAAAATTTTTAACTGGGCCATCAGTTGAACTGCATATACCAATTTATTCTTCTACTGATATGTTGGAAGAATGCCCATTTTCTTGCACAAGTTCCTCCCTGGGTATTATAAACTTTGTGGATATAATGCTATTAAAAATACATACCTCATTTTTTTGTTTTCCTTTTTCAATTTTTAAAAACTATTTTTTTGCTTCTTAACCAAGGAATATAAATTCATTTAAAAATCACATTGCAGGACAGCCCAGGTGGCTCAGCGGTTTAGTGCCGCCTTCAGCCCAAGGCCAGATCCTAGAGACCCGGAATCCAGTCCCACGGTCGGGCTCCCTGCATGGAGCCTGCTTCTCCATCAGCCTGTGTCTTTCTGCCTCTCTCTCCGTCTGTGTCTCTCATGAATAAATAAATAAAATATTTTTAAAAAATCACATTGCAAAAAATAAAAATAAATAAACATCACATTATATTGATAGGGAAAATAAAAGCACTGATAATATAAAGAAAACAAAAATTTTATGTATACATAAACACATATATAATATTGTATTATATAATATGTAAATAATTATAATTGTAATTAATATATTTATATATATCAAATCATAATTTGCATTTTTTCTTTTTTTCACTCATCCTTCTATCTCCCCTCCTTTAGTAACCATCAAGTTTATTCTCTATAATTAAGAGTCTCTTTCTTGATTTATCTCTCTCTCTCTGTCAATTTTTCCCTTTGTTTGAAACAAAATATTCAAGAGCAAATTAGCCTTGGAAATATTTTTATATTTATTTTTCACATCATTTAAAATGGTCTTTGGATATCTATTGTGTATATGGATGAACTCATTCCTTCCTACATTGTTAGATATTTTCTATGTTCCCAATTCTCTTTTAATTTCAGCCACTATATTGACTACCTTTTACCTAGATTTACAGTCCATAATTGTTTCTGTAGCAAACATGTCTAGAAAGGAAAAAAAGCAGAAAAAAGTGTAGACCATTTTTTAGACCATATCGTCAAATTTCCACTTACAAAGTTGTCAACTTACACTATTATTGTTATTTCCAATCTAAATGTGTACCTAGTTCTTTGCATAGGGCTTTGAACTGGGATTAGAATTTATATTAAGCTTAGCTATGTTTTCAGTGGAGAAAATAGAATACATATTTCTCTGATTTTGCTTGTAATAACATTTTTCTTTGTATTTCTGCTTGCTAGGGATACAAATCCTAAGAAAAAAACATTATGTGTTGTTAGAGCAAATAACATGGAATACAGCCATAATCTTATCACTGCATAAAAACACATGTAAAATTTGGCTGTATAACCTTTCATACTTTTATATATGCATAGACATAGATGCATACCCCTATGTGTACATATTCATAAATATAATCCAATAACTTTTTTACTAAAAGCCACATTAACATATATCCATGTCAATACCACACAGTATTATTTATGGTAGTAATATAGTATATTATGGTATCTCTAGGCAATCATTTTTGTAACCAGTTGACTTAATTAGTGGATTTTTGTTTCCAGTTTTGTCATGTTAAAATAAAGCCTTCGGGAAGACTATTGTTGCAGTTATACCTTCATACACATTCAAGAGTATTTATTATACATTTATTAGAAGTCTAATCACAAAATAAACCACACTGTCACAGACTATGAGATCATTTCTATATTAACCCTAAATAATCCATTCCCAGCTTACAATTTCACCCATTGTTCTGCAATACTGTCACTTGTAATTCTTTTTAAAAAATAGAAAAAAGATGTTTCAAAAGGAAAATCATTCTTCTATTTATATTTAAAAATAAAAAAAATTGTTTGAGTCAAAATATAATGATTTTATATAGTACTTAATTTGTGTCAGGAATTATTATAAGTGCTTCCCATGTACCTACTCATTTCATCCTCACAACCTCTGTGTTGCATATAGTATTAGATTTCTTTTCCATTTTACCAATGAAGTAACTGAGGCACAGAGAGGTTAAGTAACAGCCTAAAGTCATATGGGTAGCAATTCATACAGCTAGAACTTGAACCCATGTAGTATAGATTCCTAGTCTGTACTCTAACTATTAAACTATAAGGAAAAAGGCATGACTGTCCATGTGTTTTTTAATGCCTTCAAATCCCTTTTCCTTATGCATATGTAAGCACATTCTAACAAATATATATTTAAATACATTTCCCTTAA